GTGGCTCCTGCCTGTAATCTCAGCACTTTGGGAGGCTGAGGTGGGAGGATTACTTGAAACCAGGAGTTGGAGACCAGCCTGGGCAACAAAGGCAGACACTGTCTCTACAAAAAATTTTAAAAATAGCCAGGAGTGGTGGTGTGTGTCTGTAGTCCTTGAGGTAGGGTGGGAAGACATAGGGAGCAAAAGCATGGGAAGGAGGATGTCACCAAGGCTGTAATGAACTAGGATCCTGTACTCCAGCCCAAGTAACAGAGCAAGACCCTGTCTAAATACAAAAGAAAAGAAGAGGGTCTAGCCAAACAATTCCCTGGACAATTTTACTTCTGCTAGAAAATACGTTGTGTAGCTCAAATGAAAGTGTTTAGACCAAGAAACGTGTTGATACCAAGGTGGTCAGCCAGTGTGGCTCTGGAAGCAGCATGTAGTTTGGCATCGTGGGTTTAACCTTTACAGGATTAGTGATTAATTTTTACAAGGAGGCCCAAGTTAACAAAGTCTGATATAAGGCCACAGGGGCAGGGTTTTCATCGATGAGTAATCAGAAGTGGCACAGCAAGGATAAGAACTTAAAATCCTGGGCAGTCTTCATTGAGAAGCCTTCACAGCAATACGTCATACTTGCACAGCACTTTGTTTTTCTTTTAAGTACAATTCGCTTTTTTTTGGCCTTTGATTTCCACATCAACCCTGCAAGGTATGGAAATCCTCATGTTAGAAGAAAGAATGCTGTAGAAGAGCCATACAGCTTTACAATGGAGAAACTGATCTCTTTACCATAGTCAGACATTCACTCAAAAATGCAGATGTGATACCTCACAATTTTAAAGGAAAAATTCTTTGTGATTGCAACACACTCAGCTTCTGTAGCCAGTTGAAAGTCAAAACCTCTGGTAGTTCATAATTCTGTTCCAAGTTTTACTCCATTTTTATGTAGATTTTTTTTAAGCTGAAGTTATGCTTTCAAAATACAAACGCAACCACTTAAATAAGCAAATGGGCATGGCAGATGCTCCTCTTGGTTGGTCCTATCTCCCAGAAAAGCTGCTTAAAACTACGGCCTGCTGTGGAGTCAAGTAGACAAGGACTCAAGTTCAAAGACAGAGTCTGGCCTTTATTGCTGACATAGTGAGATAGATTTTCCTCCACTTAATGCTAAAACTGAAGATGAAAAGGAGGCCTGCAGTTGTGTCTAAGTCAAGGCCAGAGGCTATCGGGGCATTGTCATTACTGTTCAAAACCGCAACCAAGAGCAATCACCATACCCAGACCTTTGCTGAAGAACTGCTGGCTGAGGAACAAAAAATTAGTCATTCAAATTAAACTCACTTTAATCACTTTACTATCTCTTTTGGTAAACAGAGACCTTTCCTTAAAACATAAAATTTTAAGGAATTTATCCTTTTTAATGGAAAAGATGTCATATTACCGTGTAGCATTGACTGAATGTCAAAAACATTTAAATTTATTGGGTACTAGTAATACAGAAAGATATGCATAGAACATGAAATTAGACACTTTCCATGAGTGTCTAGTCATAATTCAACAGACACAATTACTTAACACTCTTTTGCTAACATGAATCTGTCATCAGTAAACTTTGTAGTGATTACCTTTTTTTAAAAAAATTTCATATTGTATAATTTCTTTACAATGTATCCTCAATGCCCAAGCCTTGTAAGATTGCTTTATGAGAGAATTATGTGTGTGCTATTGTGTGTTTCATTGAAGTTACTCCAGCATAAATTTGAGCTATGATTACTGTCATTTTATAGTGCAAAAGTATTGTGGCAGAAGTTTCCATCTAATAGGTGTCCCATTCACAACAACATGCTATGCTGAACTGACTAGTTGGGAAACCTTGAGTGTGTTCAAACCTCCTATTCTTGAGAATGTGGAAGAATCCTTCCTGCTCTATTCCAGTCAAGGTTCAAGGTGCCCCTTCAGGGTGATGATAGAGTCTGGACCGCATGTATGCCACCATTTCCACTCAGAAGCAGTTTTGGACAGGCAGATTCATCTAATTCCAGAGGAGGCCTCTTTAATTCACTGAATGTCTATATCTCCTGGGGCTTTATATGAGCTAATCTCATCCGGTACCAAAGCACTTTGGGTTTTTCCTACTGTTTGAGACTATACTGCATTAGTCTCATCCCTCTTCTATGTGATGTTTCTTTGGCTGTTCTAGAAGATCCTGAGTAAAAGCTCCAGGCAGCAGTCAGGAGTTCTAAGCAGGTGATAGCCACAGTATTGATGGAAAGGGCTGGCTTTGGAATAGCTAGATTTGGATTTGAATCTCAGCCTTACCACTTTCTGTGTGAACTTGGGCAATTATTACACTCTCCTTTGAGGGTCAATTTCCTTACTTGTAAATAGGAATAATCATGTCTAGTGTTTAGGACATTGTGGGGATTAAATTAGGAAAAAATAACCCCAGCACACAGCATCTCCTAAGTGCTCAAAACAGCAACCTCCCTAATTTCTTGACTCTTGAGGACCTTGCCTTCTAAATATATGTTCATCTTATACGTCACTTCAAGTCACAGGTATACAGGTGGTTTTAATGATTGTTTCATCTGCTGCATATTTCATCTAAAATTTCTAAGTACTTCAGTGGTACAGTGAAGCCTTCCTCTAATGCCATCCTTGGATTTCTTGCTCTAGAGCCATTGTATAATTGGAGAAGTATAGAACGGTATTAACTCCCCTCTAATAGGGTTTAAGTTAAACTCACCTACCTTATCCTATGGCATACAGTGTAATGGGGAATGGGCCTCCATATATTATCCTCCAAGGTGATATTCAATTCCATTTTAACATTCAGTTAAGACTTGATTAGGATCTTTGGCATGCTAAAGCCCCAGTTGAAAAAGTAAAAACTTGGGCTGACAGTTGAGGAGGTTTGTTGTTACTACCATGGGAAATGATCAAGTTTATTTAACTAATTCATTATTTTCCTATCAAGGGCTTCCTTGTCACTTTTGCAGAGAGAGAGATTTAGTCTCTTGTAATTAATGTGATTTTGTAGAGGCAGAATTCTGAATAGACTCTGTGATTTCTATAGCACAGTCTGTTTTCCTAACAGCTATCTAGACAGGATCAGTGTTGTTACTTCAAGAGTTATACAGTGGAATAGAAGGGAGTCACAGGTAATCCCTTCTTCTGAACTAGCTTGAAATAAAAATTAAATGGGCCTTGAGCATTTGTGAATTGCAGTGTTTCATGGGGGCCATGGAACACTAAGTGAGGCTCAGAAACAGGGTGTTAATTCAGGCCTAATCATTTAATTCCACTCTGTTATGTGCTGTATTTATTGCCCTCCTGGATCTGTTTTCTATGGCCTGATAAAGAGACAGTGATTCTCTGAAGCTCAGTCAGGGACCATTTTATTTATATTGTTAGTTAGTCCAATAAAAGCACTGGCTTCAGATTCCTGCTGTTATTTTCTGTTTTGTAGCCCTGTCATTAACTATGAAAATGCTGATGGGGTTTTCATCTCCTGGGTTGGAGTTAAATGGGGCTCCTAAGGAGAGGGGAAGGTCAGGACTGGATGGACTATAGAAAAGCTAAGTTTGGTGTAACCAGATGCAGAGTGACTGGGAGGCAACTCGGGTTTTAGGAGCAAATATGAGCCTTTCATTATTACGTGTTAGTGTGGTGAAAACTTGATTGACACTTTTAGAGCGAACTTAGGGCTTTTAAGCTGCGATTCTGTGTGTGAGCCAGACATGTTTCAAAGTTTTAAAAAGTCAAATTTTACTACACCTCTCCACAATGTGAAAACTGTTCTAATTTTGCACAGAAGCGAATAGAATGTAGCTTTAAAGTTGTTTATGTGTGTCAAGCAAGGTGATGAAAACAACAAACATCATAGGACCACACTTCAGATCCTCTTTGTTTGAAAATAGTTTTTACTGTATGCTTTTGTTTAGCCAGCAGTCTTTAAAGTGCTACAGAGTTCCAAAATAAGAAAATGATATTCGGAAACAGATTTATAGAGGTCACTTGAGTTAATAATATGGCAATCAGAAGATAACACAGGTGCATTAACATAACATGCTATGTAATTATTTGTGTTTCCAATGGAGTTAATGGGTAGTTATCCATGTAATAATAGACATTATTTCATAGCAGATATGCAATTAGCTCATCTCATTGGTGTGTAGAGCACAAATGAAGCAAATCATTATTATTGTTTCAACACTAAAAGGTGTTGAAACAATTTTGAGGACTGATGAGTCTCTTTATTAGACATATTATTACCTTTTTAAGACTGTTTAAAGCATACATTCAGCAAGTAAATGTGAGAAATGTTAACAGTCAATGGCTTGCATACCTATGCTTGTATTTAAATGTTTGGGGCAATTATTTTGGAGCAATTACTTTGGTAGAAAGTTGTATTGGGGGATGTGATTGAAATTGCATGAGCAAATTTGCATGGACATACACATCAATAACCAAAGTTATCACATTCTCATTGAAAGATAAAAAATAAATATTCATTCATTTTACCAACAAAGATCTGTTCACTGTTCTCTATAGGAGATAAACAGCTAACAATTTAGGTCATGCTTCCACTCTAACTCTCCTAAGCACAGCAAGATGTGTCTTTGAATTGCAGGGGCTAGAGGGACTGTGCTATATATAAGGACATCACTTAGTACTTTAGAATTTATGAATCAGGCCAGTCATGATGCCTCACGCCTGTAATCCCAGCAGTTTGGGAGGCGAGGCAGGTGGGTCACTTGAGGTCAGGAGTTCAGGACCAACCTGACCAAAATGGCAAAACTCCCTCTCTACTAAAAATGCAAAGAAAAGAAAAAAAAAAAAACTAGCCGGGAGTGGTGGTGTGTGCCTGTAATCCCAGCTACTTGGGGGGCTGAGGTAGAAGAATCGCTTGAACCCTGGAGGTGGAGGTTGCAGTGAGTCAAGATTGAGTCACTGCACTCTAGCCTGGGCAACAGAGCAAGAATCCATCTCAAAAAAAAAAAAAAAAAAAAGAATATATGAGTCACTTTATTATGCAGTATTACATTTGATTTTCAAAACAACATTGTGAAGTAGGAAGACCAGGTATCTTCATTTATAGATGTGGAACTTGAGTCAAAGAGCACATATGTCTGATCCAAGGTCACTCATCAAGAAAACACTAAAGTCAGGTCTTCTCATTCCTAATCCAGCACAAGTCCACTGAATAAAGATTGAGAGAAGCTATATTTTAAAATGACAAATAGCCCCACTCCTGTCCCCATGAGTTCTAGCTTTTTATGATTCTACAGTAAGTGTCAACTCTTGAGTTTTAGAGAAGAAAAGAGCTAGGATTAAAAAGAAAAAGATTCCAAAGATGTAGGGAGTTTGTGCTAGGGGGCTGGAGAGATGGTAAAGGCATTAGAGGGCAAATAACTAGGGGAGGGGAGGAAAGGGTGGTGGCCAGACGTGCAGCCCCATGGGTATCAGAAACGGTGCCAGGTGCAGTGGGCTTTCATTGGAAGCTCTGGGAAGTATGTATTGAATAGTAAACAGCACGCAGATGGTGGAGGCCCTGACACAGAATTTACTTGGGAGGAAGTAAAGAGTCACTGACAGTTTGGGACAGGAGACTGATATCACAAAATGAGTTTTTGAGGGGATTAATTTAGTGGTGTGCAAGAAAAAGTAGCTATTGTTGGCAAAGACACAAGTTATGATCCCATAGCAATTGTCTAAGCATGAGAGAGAACCTAAGACTACAAAAGACGGGCATACGGCCACAAGGATTTAATAATTCTCTGGTGAATTAAAAAAATTATTCTAAATGTTATAAAGTATTCAAATAGATCAACCACAGCTGCTTGCCCTTCTTGAGAAATAGGTCCAAATTAAACTTGGCTTTTAGCAGACATGAAAAGCAAAATTAGGCAATCAGCTAAAATCCAGGACATGCCCTATACTTCATAGGGGCTGTTGATGAAAATATTATCTGATGAAAGTCAAGAAAGAAAAAATTTCTCTAGATCGCTAGCTTTTCAGATATCAATACTTATTAAAATATAATTTATAAGGTTGCTTTCATCCTTCTATGTGTTTTAAATGTATAAATGTAGATTAAATGCATGCTAAATTTGGAGGTCAATAGAGGATTATTGTTCCTTTGTGAGCTAAGCAACAGGATAGGATAATAGTAGGAATAAAGGAATAAATTTAGTGTTTCGAATTGACTGTTCTTAAGTCTGGAGTCTTTATTATAGAAAATTCCACAAAACTTTGATATCTGCCAAAAGTCACAATATCAATTAATCTAACATCATGGTTTTAAGATAAGCAAGATCTATTGTTCCTAGAGAGCCTCAGGCTAAATCCTGAACTAAGGTAAATTTTGGACATACCCAGGTCTTCAGTACAAATTGTTATACTGGCTGAGTAAACTTGATGAGCAAGTTACTTAACATCTCTGGGCCTCAGTTTTCTCATCTGAGAAATGGGAATGATAATAGTACTACTTGGCCTCACAGATGAATTCTATAAATGTTAGTCATCATTGACATTCATTTCCAGTCTTCTCTCTGTACCCTTGTACCCCTGCATTTTGTACGTAACGATCCTGGCCCTCAGGATGTCCTCTCAGCAACACTTCATTTTCCCATACCCTGAATTCCAGCTCACCCTACTCAGTGCCCTGATTTTGACTAAGTTGAGAACCTGCTGCAGGCTGAGATGTCAATGAATGTTCACATATCTCCTTATCAACTCTTCCAGGCATCTTGTTTGCATTTTAACAGAGTTTAAAGTGAAAATATTAATTTTAAGTTCCTCAATTTGTTAGTGAAGAAGATCATGACAGGGAGAGAGGGAAGAAGGGCCTAAATCGCTCCCACACATAAGGCAGACTCTGGGGAAAGTCTGAGCTTCTGGTGGTCCCTGAGTGACTCCATAATCAACACCTGATATTGTGGCTGCTCCAGCTATAAGCCTAGTTCCTGGACCCTAGAGACACCACGGTTGGTTCTATCATCAGGAACATTTTTCTGGTTAATAGAATATGCCACCATCCCTTTTACATTCAGTGAACACAAAGATGCATCTTCTAGCAAAGGGCTGAGTTTTGGTGTCTAATGTTCCAGCTACAGTAAAAGTCCACTGGGTCTTCCTCCTGTGTTTATAAATACAAGCATTTAATCCACAGCTATGCCTCCATTTGCTGAAGAGAGCTGCCCTGCATCCCTGCCTAACGGTCTCTTTTCCTCTCAAACCAATTGTGGCACTTGCTTCCTTTGGCCCTGGCTACTACCTACAGCTGTGCTTGCTGAAGTGAGACTGTAATTTGCTACAGCATGCCAGAGTATTAATAGACAATTATTTATTGCAAATCTGAACCATTTATACTGTTTACTGGCTGACACAATGTAAAATTTTGATCCGAATGTTAATGTGTCCATGACATTGCATAATTCTGTTCCGTGCCATGGTTTTTCTCTTCTAAATGAATCGAATTTGCGGTACAAGGAAATGGCATTTTTAATGGATGAATGATTTACAGCCTCAAACTTATAAGGCTATTATTTGTGTAACTGAGGGAGAATTGACTAATTGCAATAACACAGCAAATTAGACAAATTTAGGATTGTACTAGGAACAAATTCATAGGGAGAAAATGAAAATAACTTACAAAGTTCTTAAAGGGTAAATGAATAAATCTCACTTTAGCTTTACAGGGCAATTGCATTTTGGTGGGAGACCAGGTACTTTTGAGGCCAAACAGACTTATAAATATTCAATTGAGTAGAACATAGATAAAAATTACTTCTTCATAATGAACCATATGTGTAAGAGAGAGCACTTCCAATTCTCCAAATGTTTACTTAAATTGCCTACACAAATGTTTTCAGCATTTGGGTGAAAACAAAGAGCTTTACAGTTATGTTGTTTTCATGAGAAAGACACCAGTTTTAGCATATTTACCTTCTATTTGTTGAGCATGCAGCACAATGCCAAGGAAGAATGATTTCCTAATGGAGATCTTCATGATTTTTCAAAATAAAAAATGTGCATCAGCAAAAATAATATTTCTATCTTTCTGAGGTATTCCTCTTAGGCTATTTATATCGATTCCTATTATTTTTTACCTCTACTCACAGAGAGATTGTTAAGATAAAAAGTGCCGCAACACAGCTCTAATTAAATCTCTGAGACTACACTGGATGTCTAAATGCAAGGACATTCAAAGTTAAGACTCCTTTAGTGTTTTAGTCCATGAGGCTCCCACAAATTAATAATGAGAGAAAAGTAATTTGGGGTTACTCCAGAAATATCTCACAAATAAAATATTTGTCAGTTCAAATTTCAGTTAACCCTTGAACAGTGCAAGGGCTAAGGGCGCTGACCCCCATGCAGTCAAAAATTTTTATGTGGCCGGGCACAGTGGCTCACATCTGTAATCCCAGCACTTTGGGAAGCCGAGGTGGGCGGATTGCTTGAGGTCAGGAGTTCAAGATCAGCTCGGCCAACATAGTGAAACCCCATCTCTACTAAAAATACAAAAATTAGCCTAGAGTGGTGGCACATGCCTGTAATCCTAGCTCCTTGGGAGGCTGAGGCAGGAGAATCACTTGAACCCAGGAGGTAGAGGTTGTAATAAGCAGAGCTTGCACCACTGCACTCCAGCCTGGGCGACAAAGCAAGACTCCATTTCAAAAAAATTCTCAAGTTAACTTGACTCCTCTCCAGATAGTTTACTGTTAACTAGGAGCCTTGTGGATTATGCAAATACATATTTTTGTATATCACATATATTATACACTGTATTTGTGCAATAAAGTAAGCTAAAGAAAAGAAAATGTCATTAAGAAAACCATAAGAGAAAACATATTGACCATAAATGGGAGTAGATTATCATAAAAGTCTTCATCCTCATCATCTTCACATTGAATGGGCTGAGGAAGAGGAGGAAGCAGTTGGTCTTGTTCTTTCAAGGATGGCAGAGGTGGAAGAGATGGAAAAGATGGAAGAGGAGGCAGGAGAGGCAGATACACTCCATGTTACTTTTATTGAAGAAAATCCAAATATAGGTGGACTCTCGCAGTTCAAACCTACGTTGTTCAAGGGTCAGCTATGTATACAAAATGGCCTTCTCTTCTCTAATGGCAAGACCTTGCCTCTCATTGGCTTTAGAGATTGCCTCCTTGGTTTTCTTTCCTGCTTCCTGCAACCAGTAGCATCCTCTTCCAGTCTGTTCTCCACAATTCAACTAATGATCGTCTTCCTCAAATATATGTCTTGTCTTGCCTCTCCCCTGCAAAAAAACTCCCCAGAAAGATCAGGATAGAGAAACACTTTCTCATGGTGTATCCAGTTCTTTTGGACTTTACAGCAGATACCTTACCACCATCTCTCTTGCTGGTCCCTGCTTCTCTTATCCTCCAGTAAGCTCCAGGTGACTTGTAATTCTTGGAAACAGGCTATATGCTTATCTCTAATTTCGGGGACTTTGTCCATTCCTGTTCCTTCTCTCTTTGTGATACTTTCCCCACTCTCTTTGCTTGGCTCTTACTGATGCTTCAAGAATAGTTTTGGATGACAAGGCTTCCCTGGGAAGCCTTGGCTGAGCCCACCAGTCAGTCAGCTTCCCCTACTTTCCATCACTGTAGTGCCACACTTGGTTTAGAGCACTGGGTCTTTAACCACTTTCTCCACTGAGCTAGAAGCTCCTGGAAGGCATGACTTGTCTTCTTTACTGGGCTTAACAACAGGGTAAACACCCAGCAAATATATGAGGAATAAGTGAAATGTATCTTGAATACCTACTTTGTTCCAGACACTGAACAAGGTCCTGAGGGAATACAAAAATGGTTTGTGTGTGGTCCCTTCTCTTAAATAGAATAGCTTATAATTCAGTAAAGGTTATGTAAGAAATCCAGAAATAACAGCAGAATATGATAAGGGCCATGAGAAAGGCAGGAGTTGCTACAGGGTTGCAGAAAATTGAGATTCATTCTTAAAAACCACTCTCTTCTCTTCATTTCTATCTCACTCAATCACTTTGAAATCAAGCAGGCCTGGAATTAAATCCCCATTCAACCACTTATTAACTATGTGACCTCGGACAATTTACTTTACGTAAGCTTCAATTTCCTCATCTGTAAAATGAAGATAATAATATTTACCTTTCAGGGTGGTGTGAAGATTGAGATTGTGCAAAGGGCCAAGAGCATAGAGGATTCAACAATGGCATTGAGAATATTATTTCAAGGCAATGTATCACTTGCCCTCTCAGAATTCCTCCGCTGTACTTCAAGTTTTATTACTCAGCATCTCATATTTCAACTATTAAAAAGACATCTTTAGAGTAGGGATCTTATTTACACGTGGCAAATAGCTTGTTTTCAAAATAAGACACAATAAATGACTCAGTTTTTTCTAATATTGATTGTAAGTTAATATTTGGAAGGGCTTCCTTGCTACTAATAAGCTTGAATTTGGGGCTTTTTGAAATTTTAAGGACCCGAGGACAGAAACTACAGCTTACATTCCACAGGTATTCAAAGATTTTTTGCTGAATTTAACTTGCCAAACTTAGAACACCTGATTTATTTATGCAGCATATTTACTGGGTTCTTGGATAGACCCTCTTGCTGTATCCATCTTTCCTTCCACAGACCTAATGGAAAGCAGCAGACAAATGCAGCAATGTAGATAAGTAGTGAAGTTAAGCAATGAGTGGTTGAAATTAGATCAGATTTGAGTGTCAATTGTAGTGTTCATGTCAGAGTAAAGACCAAACACCATTTCTGTTACTTATATGATAAATTAAACCAAGACAATTATCTACTACATTAATAGTGGATTCAGGATCATATACTGGTCAAGAATTTGGGTTGTATAATCGTGATTTTGTACAAATTACTTAGTCTTTTTAAATTCCAAATTCTTCAACCATTTCATGGGGATTATAAAATCTACCTGTGAGGTTGCTTTGTAAGTCAGTTGAGATAAAGCATATACAACACTTAACACAGAGATAACTAAATGCTTTGATGTTTTTAGTATCATTTTGAATATGTCATGGACATAGTGGTATTTAAAAAACATTAAGTTAAGGGGGTCACCTGTCTGAGAGACAAGATGATTGTATTATTGTTACTCAGCTGAATGCTTAGTCCATCCTCATTGGACAGTGCGATCTTGTATTCCTGCAGGTTACCCAAGAAGGGGGCAGGTGTGAAGCATGAATTCAAGAAACAGGATCAATAACTCTGAAAGTCTTAATTAAATCAATGCAAATAGAAAGTTTGGATTACTCCTAAAATAACCAGCTACCACCTCTGTACATGCAAAATTGGAACATGGAAATATTAATATAAATTTAAAAAGGAAACAAACATTTTTAGGCTTTATCATGAGAAGCCAGTTGTTTGGCTCAGTCCTCTCTGCCTTTAAGAAAAGCCTTAAAATTAGTTTTTGAGAATTTTATTACTATCTGCAATTACAAAAGCACACACTGACAAGGCTGAAAGAAAATAAACATCAGACAAATTTCAACTCAAGTTCCCATTTTCGAACATAAGGTTTGCAGCCCACTATATTAAGGAAGATTACTTACACATCGTTTAGATGTCTTTGGAATAATACAATCATCTTGTATTAAATATTTTGTGTTAAAGGCATTACATTTGTTAATTTGATTCACTGAAAATATGCAAGTTCTATAACCCTGTTTAGATGTTTCTTCACTTTTCATTACTCAGAGCCTCTAAAATAGGAGTAGCCTGGGCTACTCTTGACCACTATGGTGTCACGACCTTTCCAATACATTCATCTGGTTCATGCCTGATTTTGAGCAATGGGGGAAACTGTCCCCTATTCATAATAAATATGTACATTTTATTTTCACATCTCATTCAAGAAGACAAGCCAGAAAGAGGAATATATTGTTTACGAGCCAGTTTAAAATTGTGTCCAATGGAAGAATTCCATGGGCGTTGCGTAGGACTGTGTCACTGATGTGCATCAAGAGGAATTCAGATTTTATATTATTTGTTCTAAATCATAACATTTTACTTATTATTCATAATACATGTTGAAAGCAGACACCAAAATGGCTCATTTGGAGCCTTTTCTTCTTGCCCGCTAATGCACATTAACGCCAGTACACATTCTGTATTACAGATCCATAAAATGCATTTGCATAATATTGAAATTATAATCCCAAATGTGTACTAAAAACCTTTATGAAAAATTGTTACTGCTCAGCTACTATACAGTGGCTAATTTTTAATCTTCAGCCTCTCTGCTGCGAATAAAGATGGGGTATTCTTTAAATAAAAATCTCAGGAGTAAGATCCTGGAACCTTAACTCTCCCTTCTTTAAAGTAGGCTGTTTTTAGGGGGAGAAATATTCTACCCAAAGTGTTAAATAGCTGCCTACATGATGACTCTGGTTTTTTGTGGACCGATGTCTTGACTTTTTAGATTAGGTGAGAACATCTTTAATTAACCTGCCTTGCATCACCAATGGGATGAGCGAAAAGCCCTCTGGAGCAGAATCAAAGTGGCTGAGGTGGCAAATATTTTAGCAGAGAATACCACTGGCTGCTGCTTCTTGAGTGCTGCCTATGTTCTCAGTGCTGTGGTGGATTTTGGAATAAATTGTAACAATGAACCCTCATAATAATTCCATGAGCTAGCTAGCTATCCCTGATGGTGAGACATTGAGACTGAGTCTCAGAGAGGCTAAGCACTTGCCACGTCTCTCATTTCTCTGATATCAACCTTTATCTGTTGCATATTCCAACTGCTGTATCCAAGAAGCGTTTAATATTTATGTTTGAGTCTTCAAATGATTCCACAACTGTGCTTTCAAATACTTCCCAGAAAGTTCTAGATGAGACTTTCCAAAATTAATATCACAGAGTTACATTTCTACCAGGCCTTTTTGACATATACTTTAATAAGGGGAACCCTAATAGACGGGCTGGATTCTCACCTTGTGCATGATGGGGGTACAGTTGGAGAGTGGCTCTGCATTTCCTCTGTGGATCTGGTCATCTCTTGGTCACAGGTGGACTGTCCTGCCTTTCTCCATGACCCTAGGCAGGAGTTTACCCTCCATTTACTATCAGGCAGTTCCGCTCAGTTCACCAAATTGTGAAGTAAGGAAATGTTCCCTGGTGCCCTCGCACCAGACTCTACCTCCTTCTTCCTCTTCTCTGTCTTCTGAAATGTATAGCTGCAGGAAGGGAACAAGAAAACTGAGGTCAAGAAGACATGTCCCATGTCCCCCACTCCACTCCCTCCCTGCACACTGCCATGACCATCTGATCCCAGTGGCTTCCTGATAAGAATCAAGGAGGGAACCAGAGATAAGACAGAATGAATTCCCTACTTTGTTGGGGGGTTTGATTTGGAAAAGAATTCCCTTATTTTCTCTTAGTCATTTATTTAATATTCATGTATTTGATGTTAATCGATATTACACATAGTATCAATACAAAAAATATAATAGTTCTAAAGTTATTTTTTATGCTGTGGAAAGTATGTCTCTCTTCTCCTTTTGGAAAACACACAAACAATAGCATAGTATATGTGATATTTTGTACCTAATTTTAAAAATGTGTGCCTTAGAAATCCTTTTTTAGAAGGCCATATAGAGCTGCCTCTTTCTTTAACACAGATATGCTATAACTTATTTAACCAGCCTTCTTTTGATGGACATTAAGGCTGTTTCAATTATTTGCTATTAAAAACACTGCTGTAATAAATCATGAATCCATAGGTCATTTTGAAATATATAAATAGATCTAAGAGATAAAGCCCGGGAAATGTAATTGCAGGGTCACAGGACAAGTGCATTTTTAATTTTGGTAGATTTTGAGAAATTGTCTACCACAGAGATTGCACCAGTTTATACTCCCTCAACCCGTTAGCAGCAGTGCACCAGAGTCCCTTAGTTTAACCCTTTAGATCAAGAGGTTCTGGTAGGATATGGCTAAGACTTGAGAGAAGACGGACTTACAGGGAAGTCGTGCAGAGCCTGGCTTTGTGGACCGAATGTCTAACCTGTTCTCAGGCAAGCTACAAAAGAAAAGGACTAAGAAAATCTTAATAAGCCCATTCTATTCATTTCAAAGACTCTGAAATAAACCCAAACATATGGGTCTCCTGTCTGCTGCTAAAAATCTCCAGGAGGTAAATTCCACAGCCTTCTTGGGTAAACTATTTGGCTTCTCACAACTCTTCTGAAAGTCAGAACATTTTTCCTGATGTCTAATATAAATCTTCCCTGCCTGCACTCACTTGTGAAGAACATGTGCTAACATTTCCCTAAAGCAATGCAAGTTCAACTGGCTAGATAACATAATGGTATAACTTCATGGCTAAAGTATGTATCCTCCTTTTTTGGCTTTAATAACAGGCATCTCTTAAGTCATTTTTAGGAACCTTTAATACCTACACAAGGAATAGCATGAGCCCTTTTATTGTGTCCCATCTTTGTTTTAGCTATGGACTTTACAAAGACTGTGTGTGTGTGTGTGTGTACTTTAAAATTCTGAAGTGCGCTCTTGTTTTTTTTCTCATATATTATAATCATAGGATTGTGATACCTTCTCATTAAATGCTGATTAACACACAGATTTCTTAGCAACACATTCAGTATCACTTCTGAAGAAAACAATGTCTGTCACTGAGAGGCGTGTAGGTCATTTCTGAGTATATCTTTCTCCTGCTGTCTAGATACAATAACTATTTTAGGAACATTTGGCATCCCAAAAATCCCAGCATTGTGCAAATTAAAACATCTGCTTATACTTTGACACTCTCATTCTTCAAAGGTTAGTTGGATTTGCGGTTGCTTTCTTCAACAAGACTGCTCTTAGAGCTCAAGGATGCACATTTAATTATTGGGAAGATCTGTTTGACAGAGCTGTGGGGAAAAAAAATCACCCATCATATTCAGACCAGCATTAACATTTTTATAGAACAAGATTGCCTGAGAGTCAAAGAAGAGGGGAAAACTCCGGGAAAATAAATATGAATCTATTTGGTCACTGGTCTTCTACTGATTTACAAGACTCCAACCAACGACTCTTTGCTCTGTTCCCCAGAACTCATCAGCTTGCTGTTAAACTGGCATTTCTGATTTCTGCTGAGGTTAAAGACAGCAAAGTAAACTCTGCTTCCAACAATAAATAACAGAGTTAGTTTTTCTTTTCATTCAAAAAGGCTTTAGATCACAGCAGACAGCTACATCCAGGTGCATTTAGCTACATTTGTCATTGCCACAAATGCAAAACATGTAAAGAATCTGTGGCAAACGGGTCAAGATCCAGCATTTTTCTACCTTAAATATTTTCTCATCTGTACTTGTTACCATAGCCATAACGAAGGCCAGCCCGGGTGCCGGTAGTAAAGCCAGCACCTCCTGATTGGTTTATTTATTTATGCAAGTCATTGACGCCAGGTAGCAGATTGTACACTGGAAGGCTTTCTGCATCTCCAGCCAAAGACTAGTAATCTTCTCCCTGGGCAATGCCGAGATAACACATGTCAAGAGGCAGCAGTGACTCGCAAGCCAACTCATCACTCACCTCGTCCCTGGCCTGGCTCCTTCTCATTGCCATTCTGAGGGGGCCTACAGACCTTAGCTGTTGCACAGGGAAGGG